TGCAGAGGTTGAAGGGGTGGGGGGGGTCAGCCTGTCAGTGCTCAGACCATATGCCGCACACTGCATCAAATTGGTAACACTAAATAATGTAACACTAATGAGTCACATGACACCAGAAAATGGCTAATTGGTCCCAATTTGGACATTTTCACTTAGGGGTGTACTCACTTTTGTGGCCAGCGGTTTAGACATTAACAGCTGTGTGTGGAGTTATTTATAGGGGACAGCAAATTTACACTGTTATACAAGCTGTACACATTGTAGCAAAGTGTCATTTCTTCAGTGTTGTCACATGAAAAGATATAATAAAATATTTACAAAAATGTGAGGGGTGTACACACTTCTGTAAGATACATATATATATATACACACACACACACACTGAACACAATTATAAAACGCAACACTTTTGTTATTGCCTCCATTTGTCATGAGCTGAACTCAAAGATCTAAGACTTTTTCTATGTACACAAAAGGCCTATTTCTCTCAAATATTGTTCACAAATCTGTCTAAATCTGTGTTAGTGAGCACTTCTCCTTTGCTGAGATAATCCATCCACCTCACAGGTGTGGCATATCAAGATGCTGATTAGACAGCATGATTATTGCACAGGTGTGCCTTAGGCTGGCCACAATAAAAGGCCACTCTAAAATGTGCAGTTTTACTGTATTGGGGGGTCCGAAAACCAGTCAGTATCTGGTGTGACCACCATTTGCCTCACGCAGTGCAACACATCTCCTTCGCATAGAGCTGATCAGGTTGTTGATTGTGGCCTGTGGAATGTTGGTCCACTCCTCTTCAATGGCTGTGCGAAGTTGCTGGATATTGGCAGGAACTGGAACACGCTGTCGTATACGCCGATCCAGAGCATATATATATATATATAAATAATTTATTATTCCTAAAAAATAAATTGAAAAAAAAAGTAAACAGAATTTTCAGATTTGTAAGATTTCAAGTTATGCATTTGAACTACTTTGTGTGTGTGTGTGTGTGTGTGTGCGTGTGTGTATTTATGTTATGATTAAAACATGTCATGATGAAATTTTTTTTTTCTGGCTGTAAACATTTTCTCATTTATGGAGTGATAAAAAGAGATATCTAAAAATTCCATCAGTAAAAATGATTACCTCCAAGATGTCAGCAAAATAAAGCAAGAATTTTGAACCTGGGTTTATCCAGTGATCATAATTTTGTTCTGGAAACGTCTGTAAATTACTGCAATCAAATGAATCCCTCATTTGCATATTTAAACATAATATTTCCGAAAATACACAATACAAAACAATTGCGATTAAGCAACTGGGGAAAGTTTGGTTATATCTATTAGTTAAAAATTTCACTCCATTCACCCCATTCAACAAAGTCCATTCACGTTCATGGTGTCATGCCTTAAAGGAATAGTTCACCCAAAAATGAATGTGTCATCATTTACTCACCCTCACGCCGTCCAAACCTTTGTCTTCAGAAGAACTCAAAAGCAGATTTAGTTTTTGTCCACACAATGAAAGTCAGTGGAGACCCCATTGACCTTCAGTGTATGAACAAAAAACAACAAAAACTATCACATTTATCAAAATATCCTCTTTTATGTTCAAAGAATGCCGATTTGGAATGGCATTGTTGTTATTAAATGTTCACAAGACGATTGGGAGATACAAGAAGAGGTTCCAGATGAAACCGTTTTTCCACACTGCTGCTTTTTTGAGGACCACATAAGGATAACATCCACATTTTAGATGTTCTCATGTGTTAACAATTTGTTTTAGCAGTTGCTCAAGCAAACAGAATATTTTCCCTTCGGCACTCTTCATTGTTTTTACATAATCATACATAAAGGATTCCACAACACTTTGAAGGTCTACTGAAGCAAGCATCAACCAGGTGACGAATGTAGTTCAGGTCTTCAGAGAGCGTGCAGAGGGATATTTATAGGAAAAGACAATACGCCTTCATTGTCCGGAACAGAGGGAAGATAAATGACCGTAGGGAAAATGAGACCGCTAAGTTTCTCCCTAACACAAACTGAAAAAATAGTTGTGACGATGCTAAAAGCTCCAGTGCAGTGATGGCCTGCTTTACTTTCCTCAGTAAACGACATCTGAAGATGTGACGCTAAATCACAGAAACCATGATTGTGTGCAAAGTAAAAGAATAGGAAACAGGATAGTGGGTTATTTTATTGTTTTGTTATGTTTAGTGCTGTCAAACGATTAATCGCTTCCAAAATAAAAGTTTTTGTTTACATAATATATGTGTGTGTGTACTGTGTGTATTTATTATGTATATATAAATACACACACATGCATGTATATATTTAAGAAAAATATGTTGTTTATATATTAAATATATTTTAATATATAATATAATTTCTATGAATATAAAATGTATACATGTAAATATTTTCAAAATATATACTGTATGTGTGTGTATTTATATATACATAATAAATTACACATACATTTATTATGTAAACAAAAACTTTTATTTTCGACGCGATTAATCATTTGACAGCGGTAGTTATGTTATTTTTGCGTTTATTTATTTATTTTTCTTTCATTTAATTTTATTTTCCAGTGGGATCCAAAAGTCTGAGATTACATTGACATTTTTTATTTATTTATATATATATTTAACCTGAAAATAAACACAATTTTCAGTTTTTAGAATTTTTGGTGATGTATAAATAAAGAAAATATTTAAGATTCTATGCATTTTGCATACGAAGTCCTTTGTACAGATGGCTTGTTCTAAAAAAGAAAACCTTATTGAGTAGTTTGGCACGATATTTTATTAATATTTCTTAGAAACAAATAAGTAGTGAAGCAGTTTTGTTCAAATGATATTTTAAAAACGTTTTTGTCTGTTAAATCGAAGATGTGTTGTGCGGCCAACATACAGAAAAAAGCATAAAACTGGAAACTATATCATATCGAGATCTCATGACGCTCTAAAATATCAAAGAATTTAACCTTTTAACCTTTTTTTTTATTTGAAACTTTTTTTTTTTACTTGGCATTTGTTTTTAAAGTAGCTTTTAAAAAGATTTTCTCCATGTTTCTGATGGTTTAATACAGTAAGTTGGGCCTGAGTTGTGTAATAGCGGTTTCGTTTGGGTTTGATGTTTCAGGTTGCAGAGCTGGAGGCTCAGAGCGGGGTTTCTGCTTCCAGTGAGACGGGCAGCGAGGAGCTCACACAGAATATGGCAGAGATGGAGGCTCTTATCCGAGCTAAAGATGAGGTAAAGATTGCTTAATGTAGTAACAGTGCTAACTGACACTGCAAGAAAATCCATCTTGAGACTCATGTCTACCATGTCTACGCTGAACACTTCTAGATCGATCCCATTATAATGTCCACACTGTAAGCTGCACAGACACTGTATTATCAATGTCTATTTAATATAAAAAGATTTATTTACAAACAGAATCATGTATGAACATTACTCACACATGTAAATACAGTGGCAGCCTGTGATGTGGCTTCTAGCTATATATATATTTATTTATTTATGTGTGTGTGTGTGTGTGTGTGTTTATCAGTCCAACCAGGAATTGGCATAGATTTTTGCAGCCTAAAATTCTTGAATTTGCTGTGGCCTTTCTCACGATGTACGCCGATATTTGCATTTTTGTGTTGCTTTGGACCCACTAATAATCATGAGGTAATTATGTAATTAGTGTTAGTGACACTGAGAGTACAGTTACCTTTTGTGCATAATTACGGCAAGTACTTCTGCGCTTAATTACTGAAATTGTGATCCTCGTCCCCTATGAACAAGGCAATGGTGACACCAGCACAGAAATACTCATAAATCTGAAAATCCCTGGACCACAAAACCAGTCTTAAATGTCAATTTTTCAAAATTGAGATTTATACATCATCTGAAAGCTGAATAAATCTGAGGGTGCAAAAAAATCTAAATATTGAGAAAATTACCGTTAAAATTGTCCAAATGAAGTCCTTAGCAATGCATATTACTAATCAAAAATTAAGTTTTGATATGTTTATGGTAGGACATTTACAAAATATCTTCATGGAACATGATCTCTACTTTAATATCCTAATGATTTTGGCATAAAAGAAAAATCAATAATTTTGACCCAATTGCTACAAATATACCCCAGCGACTTAAGACTGGTTTTGTGGTCCAGAGTCACATATGGAATTGCTTAAACATAAATTAGTATGTAATCAGGGACACTGGTTATATACTATACATTTGAAATGTTTACAAAATTATTATTTTATGTTTCGCCCCATTTAAAGTCAGTTTTTATACCAGTGAATTTCCATTGAAAATAGAAGCACTTCTACATTTCGCTTCTAAAATGAATAATTTGGTATAGAATATTTACAGTAAAAATGGTTATTACAGGAAATAAAGATTCTGCGAAGCAAGAAACCAGATTTAAGTGAGCTGGAGACAGAAAGGGAAGAGGCCTGTCAAAGGATACAGGTAAATTCCCACAACTTTACTGCTAGTCAGGTAAAATACAAAAGTGTTAGCTTCAGACAAGTTTCATTTATACTTATTTATTAGTATTTTGAATTCGTTTTTATTTTTATATTTTGAGATATAGTTTTTCTGACATTTTTGTTAGTTTTTGTTTTTCATTAATTTTTAGTTATTTTAGTAAAAAGTTCAAATTCAATTGAGATGATGTAAATATATACTGTATATATATTTATATATTTATGTTTTATTCTTATGCATTATTGTATTATTTTAAGTAAAGAAAGTGTTTTTATGGCTTTAAAACTCAGCCGAAAACTCACCTTTTTTAATTATGCTACTCTGTTTACGACCTTTAATTCTATAATATTGTTTCTTTAATGTAATTGTATATTTGTTTCCTTTTGCTTTGTTTTGTTGATATTTGCTTTAGTTTTGGTCTTTGTTTTGCCGCACAATCGTCTCCCATTTCTTGTACCGCAACCCTGAGATCTTAAACGGCGCTATATAAATAAAAAATATTATTTATTATTAGTTTTACTTAACTATAATAACCCTGCTTTGGACTTTGTTGTATAAATATGATCATGTTTTGGTGAGTTAAGATGAGTTTTGCTTATAATGTTTATTTGTCTTGGCATTAGGACCTGGAAGTGAAGAACTCGGAGTTGGATAAACGAGTACAAACAGCAGAGGGCGCTTTAGCTTCGTCCCAGGATGCCCGGAGCAGGGCGGAGAGCGCGGTGCAGAAGGTCATTGAAACTTTAGACGTCAAGATCTACGACTTGAGCGACCTGCGGCAGAACCTAGCCAAGCTCCTGGAGAAATGACCACTGCGCTCAGACAAACGTTACATGGCAATCATGAGGTAGATGAGAACTCGTTCTGTACTGGAATCTTCCCAAGCTGCACAACTCAACGGTTCGTCACGGTACTAGGCTGGTAGTGAAAACTAGCATGAATTTAGGACATATTCATTCCACATTCGCTTCCTGAGAGCCATGGGTGTATCTTACCAGATGTTTCTCGCACAAAACTGGGCCTTGAAATAGTCACGAGGAAAATCTTAAACAGACTAGAACTACTTTAGACCTGTTTATTGCTACTAGATAACAATATAGTTGTTAAGATCTGTGACTAGTCTTCTAAATAGAATAAGACTTTGACCAGAACGTTCTGTAGATATAAGCTACCGTTCGATGTGTTTACCAGTATTATTGTTAGATGCATAACTAGAACTGAAGAAAGAGAATATCTCACTAATTACGGACACCAGCATGTATCTGTTAGGACGTTAAGTGGTTTAAAGGCTTATGGCTCTGCATTTGACAACTAGAGAAAGCACTAACAAAACATGATATTTCTCTTAGTGACAAACATGAATGGTTAAGCTTAACTTCTCTTTTTCATTAACTCATGTATTCATTATTTTAACTGGTCTGCTGCAGTCTAAATATGTAGGTAGTTATAAATCGAATGCATTCCTGCAAGGATCAACCGTTTTGCAGAGTACTTTAATTTAATTTTCTCTGTCAGATTCCATTAGTTCAAAATGGCACTTCTAAATGCAGCAACCCTTAAGGAAAAACACTTTAGACTTTTTTTTTATAGACCACTATCGTTTGCAATACCTCAGCATGCATCTTTATACCAAGCTTTATAGTATATAGTTTTTCCTCTTTTTAAAAACATGAACTTTCACTTTAACTGTTGTTTTCATTTTACCTTGCTTGGACATTTGCCCTATAACCTTAAAGACGTTTGCACATAATATGCTATTTTTCTATTGTGTGCCTGTTGTTGGTTTTATATGAATTCCCAATAAACGTATTTGCTTCATGTGTATACGTCCTGTAACCATTCTTTCACAAGCCTAAAACCCTTAAAGATAGCCTTTATGATACTTTATAAATAGCTATACTTTGAAAATTGTTATTTATTCGGTCGAGTTACATGGCATGGAGTGCAAATAAATGAAGGAATAAACTGCTGCACTTATTGCGTTAACCATGTGTTTCGGTGTAATATTCAATTATAATAATTATGGTTCGTTTTGAAGCAGTGTTGCTATGGTTTTGAATAAAATGGGATCCAAAGGAGCTTTTTTTTTTATTTAATTGTTAATTGTTTCACTGTAAAATGATGCATGACCGTCAAAAGTATGATGGAAAATATAAAGGTAGTTCTCCCCTGAAATGTGAGAAATTAAAATTTATTTTTTTAGTTACGTTTAGTGAAGCTGATATGATTTTAGTTCGTTTTCTTGTAATAATGACATTTATTTTTTTTAATAATTAATAATTCTGACAAATTCAGGTCTCATCCTGTTACACAGTGGCCCCAAAAATGATTGGTCATGTTCAAAAATGTCTCAATATCATTGCATTATAAAACAAAATATTACATATTAAGTGGTATCTGCAAACAAAAAACTAACAACCATATACATACATTGCCTGCATGTATATTTCAAAGTTGTGTGATATTTGTAAATACTTTTTGGGCCACTGTAACCGACTCGATACTGCCATCTACTGAAGAGTGAAAGTTCTCAGTCGAAGAAATCTAAGAAAGCTCTAATTACTTCACACTTCCAGATGTAGAAACGGAACTGAACATTTTAAAGAAATGGTTTGATGCTAACAGGTTATTACTGAATTTAAGTAAAACTAAGTTTATAATATCTAATCGACAAATGGTTAAAGGGGTCATATGATGTTGCTAGAAAGAACAGTATTTTGTGTATTTGGTGTAATGAAATGTGTTTTATGAGGTTTAAGGCTAAAAAAACACATTATTTTCCACATACTGTACATTATTGTTTCTCCTTTTCTGCGCGGGGCGATTGTTTCTCGCCCCGCCTTTCTGAAACGCTTCGATTTTTACAAAGCTCATCGTTCTGAAAAGCGAGGTGTGCTGTGATTGGCCAGCTATCCAGTGCGTTGTGATTGGCCGAATACCTCAAGCATGTGACGGAAATGTTACGCCCCTTACCATATTGTAATGCCTTGTCCCGGCCGGAGCGACGAAACAAAAAAAACAATAAAACCCATTATAAACGAGGCATTTGTTGCATCCAGTGGGGACATAATTATGGATTATAATGACTTATACTGTCTTTTTACGCGTTGCATCGCGCCGCATAAACATAAAACCATGTCTGCATTTGTGATCGGAGAAATGACAAACAACAAGCGCTACTCTACACTGCTCAAAACTCACGTTTGAATCGTCAGTGGCAAATTCTTTAATATAAAAAACGTACTTACAGTCTGTGAGTCAGAACAGCCGGCATTGTAGTCTACTGCCGGAGGGCAAATATCCTGAACCCACTTATAGGTCTTCCTACATCAGACATAAAGTGTCCCGGATCTTCAGAGCAAAGCAATCGGCGAAAACAGGTAAGTACTCGCACTGTCCACTGACATTTTGTTTTTTATCAGTTGATATAAGATGCTTTTTTTCGTATCAATCAGGTGTCGGATCTAGTCTAATTATGGACAGAAGGGACAGGTTCAGATCCAGTTATCATGAGCAGTTCCAATACAGATGGTATCCTTGTCCTCAGTCCGCAGAGAAGGCAATTTTATATAATTTGGCAGTGGTTTCAGAGAGCGCCAATAATGTTGCAGTTCAATAACATCTTTTTGTCTTTTATTTTAGCAACAAATTCAGTATCCATCTGTGGTGATGGGAGACCGAGAAAAGACAGTGGACAAACAAACAACATATTTCACCTCATTCGGACAGTCAGGTGACCACAGGTGTGTCCATTGGGCTTCTGTACGCAGCATAAACGCACAGCATGCACATTTTAATACTGTACCGTGTCTGATTGTATTAAACCTCACAAGAAAGCTCTATCAGAATCAGAATTTTTTTTTTTAAACAGCTCTACTGAATTCAAGGAATGTCTGCTTCCCAAGATAAATAAATCTCGGCCCATCAACCTTCGGGAAGTTCCTGAAGACAAATGGACAACAAACTCATCTGAGGAATTTCGTGCACACAAATGTGGTATGTATGATAACTGCATGCCATGTACTTTTTGTTCTTTAATGCAGAATATGGGACAGGGGGACTTATAGTTTACTGAAACTAAAATTAAAACCATTAAAGACATTGAAATAAACGTTAACTGAAATAAAATAAAATATATAAAAAAACTTTTTCTTTCAGCTAGTTGCCAAGGCAACATTTCTCATTTTATTTAGTTTAAAGGCACAATATGTAAGATTTTTTTATTAAAATATCCAAAAACCACTAGAACAGTGTTATATATTCTGCTGACTTGTGTACTTACATTATCCCAAATGTTTCGAAGAATGTTTAAATCCAGAGAAATAAGCTATTTTAACTAGTGGCACGGACTGTGTCTATAGTTTCATTGTGTCACCTGCCAATGACGTCACACACCCTCGATTTCCGGTTTTGTTTTGTAGAAAACATGGAAACACCAAAGACGCTTTACTAGGTTGTGCGTTTTAATAGACCGGTGACGACCGCACAGAGTAGCATTATAACAGAACTTTCAAACGTATCTAGTATGATAAAACCGCGCTGCTTTACACCACATACTTACGACCGGAAGAAGCGGAAGCAGTCAACTGTGGCATTATAAAAACTCCGCTGCTTTCGAGCCGTGTGTCATGCTCGTTCAGTGGCCTCGTTTCGCTTCGACGGTTAAATGTGAGCCAAAATCATCACAATTAAAAGAACCAAAGACTTAAACTACTTCAGTCTGTGTGCATTGAATTTATTTAATACACGAGTTTCACAATTTGAGTTGAATTACTGAAATAAATGAACTTTTCCAAGACATTCTAATTTATTGAGATGCACCTGTATTTGTTTATTTTGAATACGCGCCCTCTAGCGGCTAAACTTACATATTGTGCCTTTAACTTGATATACTAAAATAACTAAAACTGAAATAAAAAATAATAATTATATAGACAAATAAAAACCCTAAAAACATCAAAAATGACAAAAACTACAGTTAAAATGAAAAGGAAAATATTATTTTTTTTAACTATTAATAAAAACTATAATAGTATTTGAATGTTACTAAAATAACACTGATATGAGAATGTAGTTTTCTCCTGAAGCCGTACAGCAGTTTTCAAACTATAAATAAGTGAAAGCATTAACTTAATATCTTAATTAAATGTAACATTTCAATGCATTTGTCACATTTAATTTTTAAGTCTCCTTTCTAAAGATTGAAATCGTGACATTAATTCTGAACTATTTAATTCTCTATTATTTTATTCTGACCTTGTATTGGCCTGCTTGTGTCTCACCCTCAATACCTAGTATTCAAAGTTGGGCTCTCTTCTCAATAAAAAGAAAGTCGGCTTTATCTGTTGCTTTTTGTGCATGTTAAAAGCACAGCATGAGCAGCAGATGGTGCAATTTCAATATTCCTTACTCAAACATCAACCTGCCTTCAACTTCTGCTTTACATTTATCACACAATGAGAGAATTAACAAATTATTCGTCAATGACTTTAATAACTGTGTTTGTTTTTTTTACCAGGCCCTATTCACTTAGAGCGCAGATGCCCGACTCTCAGCTGTGTGTTCAAAGGAGAGACGCTCACAGGCGAACAGCAGAGACTGTCAACAACAAACCAGTGCTTCTTCCCAAAGGTCTGACCTGTTGCACTTACTCTTTCTTGAAGAACTAGATAATGCAAAGCATGCCTTTTCTAACTGAGATGTCTGCCATTCAGATAAACCGCTCACAGTTCCCAGTGCACGTGGATGGAGCCAGCATCAGAACTCTCAGCAGCATTGAATTTGGGAGGCCTGATCTAGTTGGAAGCTTTTATAGCACAGCAACACAAGAGCAGTTCCCACCAAAAGAGGTGGTCCATCCCAAGCCTCCAGTCTACCCACCGAGTCATGTGCTGTTTGAGCAAGGTACTTTCACCTGTATTTTCACAATGAAACGACCTGCCCACATTACTTCCCATTATACACTTAGAGTGTAAAAAGAGCATATGGGCGGCTGTTCTGCTTGATCTGACCCTTAATGATTCTTGTTGGAGTAACTGAATGTTGTCAGGCTGTTCAGTCATACTAAGTGTTTTTGTTGTTCCTTTTGAAAAGAGTAAAAACACTTAATTTAAATGTTACTACACAGAGTATTTTTAAGTTACCTTCAGTGGTTTTTTGTATTATTGAGCTACTATTACATGTTAATATTCTGAATTAGATTTTTTTTTCTGCTTTCATGTTAATTTTAAAGGTTTAGTAATTTTGTTGTGTTTTTGTTATCATTTCAAAATGTCTATATCGTTACACATATATATTTCTAAAAAGAACACAAACATTTACATAAATTGTATAAATAAATGATGCATAAATTAATAGAAATAAATGAACTCTGTAATATTTATTAATATCAAATATTGTTCTGATTTTCTTGTCTTGCTTTTATTTATATTTTTATTTATTATATTTTATTTGTTTGGAGTCCTCTTTATCCTAGCAGAAATACAACAATAAGCAACAGGAAAAGTTACATTACATATAGAGAGAAAATGTATCGCTAAACAACATTAGGCTGCTACTTTTCTATGGCTTGAAAAAACTAACTGACCCGTTATGCACTTGTCCGAAACTTCTGCTCGGAGGCATAATAGTTACACCAGTGAATGGGCGTGGCTACAACATTAAAGCCCGTGTGTCTGCTTCCTATTGGTGCACAGTCGAAAGTGGGCGGTCTCCAAACAACAGACAGAATACATTGAACTTTTACTCTCGGTGTGCTGACTTTTTGTTTTGCGCGCAGTTTGTGGGTTTTAACGGTGGAAGGTACGTTCCTCTTCTTTTTGACCTTGCTGTAATGTCACCTATGTAA